CAGTACATTCATATTCCTTCAAAAAAAAAAAAAAAAACACGCCTGTATTTACATTACACTAATCCAAAAAACTCCAAAGCATTACTTTTGCATTGCATTCGTTTTATATTGCATTACTTTTACGTTGCATTCCTTTTTTTTAACCAACCAACAACCCCTTACTAAAAGAGAAGGTTGTTTGTTATTTGGTAACTTTACTTTTAAAGGAACTAAGCGTTTTTCTCATTTCTTAAATTATGTGTTAGTTATGATCTCAGATCATATGCTATTGCATCGTTTTTTCCATTTCTTATACGTATAAATTTTGTCATAGCCTTTTCTATGTGAGCCTATATGTCCATTTATGTCACAACCAATAGTTGTTTTTCCTTTTTCTTTTATATTTGTAGTAGTTATAGCTTGTTGTTTCCTAAAAATCTTTCTTAAAATTATCTTTTATTCCAACTCAAGTGGCAAAACACTAAGTACGTTTATAATGTCCTCTTTTATTTTTATTTTAGTAAAAAAAATCTCTTTCAATAATCCTATTCATTTTATTTTGTCTGTCAAGTCTTAATTCACATCTATCGCAGTCCGATTCTTTTTATTAACTTTTTCAACTAATAAATGTACAACTTATTATAAATTTCTTCAATATTTTTTTATTTTTATCTTTTCATTAATTTTTTTGCAAACATTTGTATACTATATTTTATATTAAGGCACAAACAACATAATCAGAAAGAAAATATTCTATTTGAAAATTTCAGTTCTATAAGCTTGGAGGGAGCTTAATTACAAAATGGAGCTCTCTTAATTTTATTGAAGGGAAAGACATCTATCTAGTCTATTTATTGTCTAATCTAATCTACATTTTATGTACGTTTATAATTACTGCATTTTGTTGTCATTTTTTTTTAATCTTCCATTATAACAACAACAACAACAAGCTTTTATCCCACCATGTAAGGTGAGCTATATAAATCCTTTTTCTCCATTGTGTCATGTTAAAAATCAAATTCTCATCTAAATCTAATATAAAAGGTTATTTCTAATATTTTTTAACGAAGTCTTTTTAGGTTTACCTCTACCTAATGGAAATCTAATATATCTACTTTCATAACTAGGTCATCAGAAGGCTGTTGTTTTATGTGACCAAATCATCTAAGGCGACACTCTCTAATCTTGTCTTCCACTGGAGCTACTTGAACCTTTTCACGTATATGCTTATTTTGTATCATGTCTTTAAGAGTAAAGCCACTCATCCACCTGAGCATCCTCATCTCTATAACACTTAATATTATGCTTCTCTTTTAATGGCCAACATTTTGCACCATAAAAAAATCAGGTCTCACTACCATCTTATAGAATTTTCTCTTTAAGTTTGAGAGGGCCTTTTCTATCACACAACAAACCCGATGCATTCCTTCACTTCAACCATCCAACTTGATTTCTACTAATAATATCCTTATCTATTTCACCATGACTTTGGACAATAGACCCGAGATATCTAAAATGTGTACTCTTATTAATGTGTTGATCGACCAAAGTCACAATCCTCCTACTAGATCTATTATTATTAATATTATATTCCATTTGTTCAGTTTTAGATCTACTTAAACGAAAGCCTTTAGACTATAATGTTGACCTCCATAATTTAAGTTTACCTTCAACTTCCTCTCTAGTTTTATCAACAAGAAGAATATCGTCAACAAGAAGAATATCGTCAGCAAAAAGCATACAGCAGGGTACAACCTCTTGCAAATGTCTAGTGAGAACATCCATGACTAAAGCAAAAAGATATGGGCTTAAGGCTGATCCTTGATGTAATCCAACTGGAATAGGAAAATATTTGGTCAAACTAAATTATTTTTTAACACAACAGTTCTTGCATATATATCCTTAATGGCTTGAAATATAGCATTTATTAACCCTTTTTTATGTAGAACTTCCATAGCACTTATATTGGAACTTTATCATATGCTTTTTCTAAATCAATAAAAATCATATGTAGATCCGATCCTTCTTATTCTCTCTATACTTCTCCATCAAAACTCTCAATAAATGTTAGCTTCCATAGTAGACCTACCTGGCATGAATCCAAATTGATTTGAGAACTTGGTGTCACGCCGCTGCTTATGCTCCATAACTTCTCCATAATTTTAAAGTATGACACATTGACTTAATTCCTCTATGATTCACAGAAAAAAAAAAATAAAAAAAAAAAAAACAATCTTGTTCCATCACCTTTATTCTTAAAAATAGAAACCAAAACACTTATTCTCTACTCATTTAACATCTTTTTAGTCTTCAAAATAATATTAAAAAGTTTAGTAAGCCAAGAAATTCCTTCATCTCCTAAGCATTTTGACATCTCTATTGGAATATCATCAGGTCCAACAACTTTTCCACATTACATTTTTTTAAAGCCTCTTTAACTTCAATTTTACTAATACACCGATAAAAATAAAAATCTTTATTTTCATTTAGGGTTCTAAGGTCACTAAAGTCAATCATATTCTCACAATCTTCATTGAAAGTTTAGCGAAATATCTCATCCACCTTGTTGAATTTCTTCCTCTAATAAAAACACTTTTTGATCTCTATCCTTAATACACTTCGCTTGAATTAAATCCTTACTACTATCTTTTTGTTTACCTAACTTTTATATATATATATATATATATCACATTCCTTAGTATTTAATCTATTATATAAATCATTAAATGCTAAAATCTTTGCATTGCATATTGTTTCTTAGACTCCTTACTAGCCTCTTTATATCTTTCCCAATTATTAAAATTTTTACAGCAAAATCATTTTTTATAACAAATCTTCTGTTTTTTAATTCTTTTCTTGTGTATCTTGATTCCACCACCATCTATTTTTATTATTAATAAATTTTTCTTTTGATACTCCATGCATATCTTTTGCACCATTCTTAATATCACTGGCTACTTTTTCTCATATAATATTAGCTTCCTCGTGCACATACAAAATTTTAAGATCTAGAATCTCACTCTCCAAAATATTTTTATGAATAGTTTTTAAATACCCCCATATAATCATAGAATAACGATTTACTTTATTTTTTATTTTCTGTCTCGTCAACTTAAAGTATAAAACTAATAAGTGATGTTGGGTACATAAACTTTCACTCGGAATAATTTTACAATCTTTGTAATCTAAATTATCTATTTTTCTTATAAGAAAACAATTAATCTTAGTTTACTATATCCATTCTTATAAGTAATGAGATGTTCATCTCTTTTCTTAAATAAAGTTTTAGCAATTACAACATGATAAGCTAAAGAAAAATCTAATATGGTCTTATCATCTTCATTAGTTTCTTCAAAATCATAGCCACCACGAATGCTTTTAAAATCATCCACCTCTCTATGAACATGTCCAATTAAATCTCCTCCTATAAAAACTCTTTCTTCAAGAGGTATATTTTGTATTTATTCTTCTTGGTCATTTCAAAATTTTAATTTTGAATACAAATCCAAACCTACTTGAAGAGCATTGGCGCTTATAATATTAATAATCTTAGTATCAACAAATTTTAAAGATATAATTATATCTCCAATTCTATTAATTTTTATAACATTATCATTAAAACTCTTATCTATAATCACACCTACACTCAATGTTTAAAATTGCGTATTCGGGTATTCAAGCCTCAATAAGGCGAGGCGTAAGCCTCAAGACGTTTTGAGACGTAAGCCTCAAAATCAAAAGATTGCGTAAATATAAAATGATAAATTTTTTATATACAAATGAGTGAATAATATAAAATATAAAAAAGCATAAGATATGAAGTGTAATCAAAATATCTCAATAATAAGACAACATGAAATATAGTTCAACTCAAAATTCTATCTTTCCCAAATCCCAGTATTCTTTTCATTAACATATAATTCCAATTTCCAAAAATAAATAGCAATGACATATCACATAAGAACTCATAAGTCATCAACACCGTCATCACTAAGGGGTTCTTCATATAGAGTCCAATGTCGGGCATTTACTTCAAGATTTATGTAAGTTTTAATATATATAGCGTGAGACGTAAGTCTCATGCCAGTGAGGCGAGGTGGGCCTCAACCAAGTTGAGGCGCAAGCCTCATAAAAAAAACTTGAGGCGTAAGCATCGAGGCGTTTTTTACTGGAATTGCACAAAGGCGGGCCTCAACGAGAGCCTCATATTGCGCAATTTTAAGCCATGCCAACACTACTTCTAGTATGACTCCTACCAAAATACCATAATTTAAATCCTAAACTATCAATCTCCTTAGCCTTCTCTCCAAACCATTTAGTTTCTTGAATGCAAATAATATTTATCTTCTTATGAATCATAATATCTATTAATTCTATTAATTTGCTCGTAAGTGAACCTATATTCTAAGTTCCTATCCTAATTTTAGTTTCGTTGACTAGCTTTTTTAACCACATCCGTCCATGATGTGGGAATCCTTGCCTATTTAACACTGTAACCGGGCGCCGTTGCAGTGACCCTTACACACTTGTCGCTGTAATCAGGCCATACAATGCGTCGCTTTCAGGGAATGGCCTAGCATTAACACAATGTATTAAAGGAAAAGAGAATATTTATCAACTTTTTGCTTTAAAACAGCCTCATGCAATATAGCGTCCAACCTTTCAAATTATTAACTACTAATCTATTTTGAAATTCTTAAGTAGGTTTTAATTTCTAGAATTGTTTTCCCATGCATTGCATGAGGTTGCTTTCTTGCGAGAACTTCATTTTGTCATATTTGCTCTTTTCTTGTGGGGTTACATACTCCAACAAGACAATCAGGCTGCTTCATAGTGCCAAGGGGTCATGAGATGATGACTTGGCTTTTACATAGTAATTCGTTTTTCTGATTGGACAATTCGGTTTCCCATTGCTTTGGCTCCATTATTTAGCAATGGAATGTATACAAATGTTGCTTTGGCATCTCAATGACTGCAACTTTTTTTAAGCAGGTTTGACTAACTACCTTTTGTGATGAAAGTCTCTAGGTGGACCTGGAAAAATTTCTCTCGGTGATATTTTGGATGATTTTCTCCAACAAAGATTTGGTGTAGACTCGTATGAGCGTATTGAGAGTGGATTGATCCTGACAAAGAAGGTGGCTGCTATGAAGATGTTTAATAACAGGGAAAGTGGGAGATTTGTATTTCTGATTGAAAAGCGTGCTTGCCTTCCAAGTGTTAAGCTCCATTTTGTTGATGCCGTAATCCTATTTGATAGTGATTGGAATCCATTGAATGACTTAAGGTCTCTGCAGAAAATAAGTATGGAATCACAACATAATTGCATCAAGGTATTTCGTCTTTATACATGTTTTACAGTGGAAGAGAAACTTCTAATGTTTGCAAAACAAGATACTATTCTTGATAGTAATGTTGAAAATATAAGTCGAAATATTACCCACTCATTGCTTGGTTGGGGTGCTGCTTATCTATTTCGGAAACTTGATCAGTTCCATTCAAGCTCTGAAACAACTTGTATTTCTGAACCTTCATTTGACACGTTATGTTTGAATGATGTTATTTTGGAAATACTATCCGAGTTGCCGGGAAAAGTTGAAATCACTGGAACTGCCCCTCACTCTATTCTCATGAAGGCCCAACAAATTGGAGCAACATACCCAGGAAATATTGTTTTGGTAGGCGAGAAGGAAGGGAACTCTTTGCCTGATAATGATACGCCAAGTTTTTGGCCAGGATTGTTGGAAGGTAGATATCGTAGATGGATACATATATCTGACCGTACACAAAGGATTCGTAGGAAAGTTCACAATTTTGATGGATTTGTAAAGAGGAATGAAGCCGAAAGTGAAACAAAGAAGCGCCGAAAAATCAACATCGTGGATCCAGTCATGCCATTAGAATGTTCTCGGGAAAAGGGAGTTTCATCTAAAGGTATATTCATTGTATGATTTTATAGTACCTTAATCTGAATTTTTGAGCTGACAAGCTTCCTTTGCATGCATTCCTATAATAAAGCTCTTTTCTCATCTTCAAGTTTACATCCCTTCCCCTGATTTGTAACCCAGCTAAGGATAAATTGAATGAGATTGGAAGCAGAAACAATTGTTTGTAGTGGTTTGACTTGTTTGTTCCTTGAATGACAACCTTCTATAGCATACCTGTTAATATATTTTACTTGGTTAACTCATATTTCAGTGGGTGTTACAAATCTGCAGATATCTCAGATGCTCAGAAATCTCGCATTGTTGAATCTGAAGATAGGGAACCAAAGCTTGAAGAACAAAGAAGTCTTCTTAGGTTACTTCGTCCGGAGTTATTGAAACTGTGTGACATTCTCGGGCTACCAGTATGTATTTCAGATAATTTCTTATGATGTATCTCAGAAAATGAATCTCTTATTATGATTTTTTTTGTTCAAACTGCAAAGCTGAGTTAGTAATTTATTTAAATGAATAAATCTCGTGTATCACTATTATATAACTTGTATGTGGGTAATTTTAGAACTCTCATGTTAAAGCATGTTTGATTTTGTTAATATCAGGAGATACTAATAGCAAAAACATTAACAAGTCAAATCAAATAAAATATGAAAAATGAAATTTGAGCTTTTTTTAAATTCGAATATTATTATATTTATAGGAGCACCCGGATTGAAGAGTTTATGGGCTGTCACAATAATTCATACTCCGTAGATTTTCCTGTTTCATGATTTAGAAGATACGACTTGTTGTAATACGAGTAATTTGTCTTTTCTGTAAATAATCCTCCTATTATATTCTATAAGTAAATGGAATAAAGGTGTCTCCCATAAAATTTCGATATGTTATCAGTGCAAGCATTCTCATGACTTGATTGTTTCCTCGCTATCTTTGACAACTTGGCCGTCTCCTTTGACTCATGATTCGTTCTTCAACCTTGTGCAAGTTTTGATTTCTACAGAGCTGCAAGATCCCAACCTCTTCTGCTTCATGACTGCATCGAACTTAAATTTCAACCACTAGAATCTATCAATTCAAATGCTGACTCGTTGATCGCCAGGAATTGCAATAATAATCATCGCAATTGCTTGGAACCAGCCACTACTGCTCCACTGACCGCCACTTTCAACCCTTCATCGAGCATTGATCTCTTGTAGTCGTGGATCCATTGATCAATATTTCCAGCATGATCAACATCTAGTACAGTCAGGGCTAGATTGTCAAATTTTGCCAGTCAGTCTACAGTTGGCTATCTTTTGCTCTTATCAATGGCATTTTCTATTATTCCATTCTGTAAGTGGCATCATTATGTCTTTATCTTCCATACGACCAAATATGTCATGGCCATCGGAAGGTATAACTTGTCTTTTGAGGTCACCTCTTGTTCAGGGACACTCATTCCATGTTTTATTGGTGAATATGAGATCAACCATCTTCCATCACTGGATCTGAATTAGTAATAATGTATAACTATGAGAAGAGTAGAGATGATGAACTCATTAGGGCAATGTTGAACCCAAAGAAAAAGATCCCATGTTTAGAGTCTTGGAAATTAGAAAATAATATGATAATGTCTTTACTTGTCAATTCTATGATAAATAATATTGGGTAAAATTTCCTTTTATTAAACTCCAAAAGAGATTTGGGATGAAACCAAAGAAACTTACTCCAGCTTTGAAAATATATTAAATTGTTTTTTTTTTTGAAAGTATTCTGTTACACCGGCCCAGGAGGGGCCGGCTGGACCGGTCCAACCTGGACCGGTCCTAGTCTACAGCCGGCGGAAGCCAGGCAAAAGGGAGGGGGCGGACAAGCTAATGGGCCCCACTTGGGCTTAACGCGAAATTGAGAGGGAAAATTTGAATGAAAAGGGTGTTTTAGGTAATTTGTAATTGTCCGTTTGTCTTTAATTAGGAGTTATGATGAGAATTAGGCTCATCTTGAATTTGAATTAGTTTTGGGAGATCTAGGGTTTGTGTTCTTGGGCTCTTGGCGTTGCCGAAGATTGTGGAGAGTTTTTCCTTTCTCTCGAATTGAAGGAAAGTTGTATTTTGCAAGTGCTTTTCATCCTTTATTGAAATAAAAGTGTTTGTATCGTTTTCCTACGAATCTCCCTACATCTTTCTCTCAAATTTTCTGGAGTTTTGCTGTTTTTCTGCTGTGGACAGCAATATTCGCTTGGATCTACTTTGGTTTGGGTGAGAAACACTTGGAAATCCAAGAGTTTCCTATCAAATTGGTATCAGAGCGAGATCAGGACGGTGGAGGGCTGTTTTTTCCACTGTTTCGCTGCAGA